TTGGGGACCCCATACACTTACTCACGTAGAGTCTTTTTGTTAGAAACACTAGGTAAGTAGGTTGGTGCCACCCATGTAATTTTGAGCTTGTTTTGAGTTGAGGTTTAGGGTCTTTCCCTCGTGTTTTTGCTTTTCTAGGATAATAGCTCAGCTAAGTTTTGGTTTTGTCTTTTTGGTGTTTTTTTTGGCACAACCTAAAGAAAACCTAAAGAAAGAAAACCAGAGGGGAGAAGAGACGGTGAGAAAGGGGGTAAGAAAGAAAGAAAAACAAACAAAACACCTGGATCACCTGTATGGAGAAAAAAAAACAGAAGAGAAAGCAAACACAAAAAAAAAAAAAGATCTGGTCTTTCTAACAAACAGCTGAGATTAAACTACAAATGCTCAAGTTGATATTCTCCATTTCAGTCTACTGACCTTGGGGGGGAAAAAGAAAGACTTAAAGCCTGAGCTAACTGCTAAATGAAACTTAAAGAAGCAGAGAGAAAGACAAAGAGCAGGGGGGGTGGGGGGACAAATGAAGGGAGTGTTGATGGCATTAACAAAAGGGACAGTGACAGAGGCACGAGGACAGGGATAAAAATCATACTCCATTACCCTCAAACACACACGCACGCACACCTCCGAGATGGATTTCGACGGCCCACCATGCCTCGTTCTCCACTGCTGCAATGTCAGAGTGAAAATGAAAATCTTTGCGACTCAAATTGGATTTGCACTGATGAAGGTCATTTCATTGGGTAAGAAGAGCAGACTAATTCACGAAATGAGGATTGATTCTGATTGTTCTGCAGCTCATTTCTTCTTTAGTTTCTTATCCTCCTGCATCACCGCCTGATCATGCCTGCAGCGTTTCCCCAGGATAGTCAAATATTCTCTGGCATCCAAACATAGACAAATGTCTAACTAATCCCTCAAAGCTCACAAATGGAGCGTTTGGCATCCCGTGCAGTTATTTGGTTATTTATTTATTTCAGCGTCCATTACTTAAAAGGTACAGAAAGGGGAAGAACGTATGACAAAAACCTATTAGGCTTCTTTGCAGAGAGGCAGTGTTGCCGGGGAATCAATCCAACAAAAGTGGCCTCATGGCACTTTATATTGTAAGGTCAAAACCTTCCAATAATATAGAAAAGAAACTTTATAGACAACACTCAAATGGTTAACTACATGTGCAGCCAATCATTTAGACAAGAGACTCACAAATTGTCAAAAATAACAACACACACACAAAAATCTCTCAGCTCATTCTGTCCAACCAACAGCTTGAAACGTCGACATAAACAATTTAAAAAACTCCATATGAGGGACAACTGTAGTCACAATGATGTCACTCGTTGGGTTGTGATGTTCATTTTCAGCATCATGGTCATCACCAATGTGTTTTTTGTTTGTTTTTTTAGGATCCTGCTTTTAAGGGAGAGGGTCGAGTGTGGAGCAGGGCGATATGACCAAAAATATTTATCACGATATACATTTGAAAATTTGCGATAACGATATAACTGACGATATAATTGACACTAGACAAAATACTTTACAACTCCACAACTTTATTAGT